AAAAAAAAATCCTAAACAGAGTTATGCAAATGCCGTTAGCGGAAAATTTTAAAAAATAGAGACGGAAGCCAATGCGGGACCATCAAGGTCACTTTTTCAGAACAGGGCAAAACGACCTAGGTATTCATTAACAGAAATTAATACTCGAATGGCTCATAGAGAAATTATTCCACCAATTGAAATACCAAGAACAGTTGGAGGAATTTTAGAAAAATCCCAGTATAAAAATAATTTACTATAAGTAATAAGTACTATAGGAAATATCACAGAAAAGGATTTAGTGAAATGTGTGTTGGTTAGTTCAATAATGAGAACAATGAAGGAAAAAACTCTTTCGAGGTTGATGAAGCAGATGTTCTAAAAGTGATAAAAATCGGAATGAATAATACAAATATTCAACATTCGATAAATTAAAGAAAGAATTAAATTTTTGTCAATGGAATTGTCGTTCAGCAGTAGCAAATAAAAACAATTTAGAACATCTGCTTGATCAAAATGATATTTATTTTGCACTACTTTCGGAAACTTCGTTCAAACCAAATACTCAGTATAATTTCTCTGATTATAATGTAGTTTGATTGGACCGAGGTGATGATAAAGCAGGAGTAGCTATTTTGATTGAAGAAAATATTCATTATGAACAAATACCAGCCAATATTACTTCATTTCTTGCCGTGTGTGTGAGAGTTCAATTGGGCAATATCGGTAACATAACTATATTGTCACTATATGTTAAACCTGAAACTATGATTTCAAAACAAGAATGGATTCAGTTTTTTGATAACGTACCGAATCCATGTCTGATAGAAGGAGATTTCAATTCACACCATACAGCATTCGGTAGTGGAGTTAAGGACTCATATGGCCAAAATCTTTTGTAATCCCTAGAGGAAACCAACCTAATATACCTGAACAATGGAGAACCAACCTTAGTATCATATCTGAACCAGAGAAGAAGTGCAATAGATATCACATTATGTTCACCGGAAATATCTCAATATTTTACCTGGACTACAAGTACAGATCCCCAAGGATCGAATCACCTACCAATCTTCATTAAAAATGTTGGAATAGAACACACAAAATATGGAACCTTCGAAAGGCACACCGAGAAAAATATACAAACAATTTTGAACAAACAGAAGGAGAGGAGATGAATTACCAAGAGCTGATAAACGAAATGAATAAAGCCGCAGAAAAATATATACCCAAATACCCCGACAAAGATAAATCAAAGAAGAAAACTGGTAAAATCTGGTGGAATGATGAATGTTATAGGGCATGCAAGAAAAGGAAAGAACTGTATATCAAATAATTAATGTGAAGTTAGCCATAGTTTTCTGGCCACACTTTCTGACGTAGGGAATATTTTATGTGGGATAGAGGAGCAAACGCGAGCGGCGTTGTCAGACATTCAACTTTCCCAGTTACTGATGATTGAAGTCCTTCCGGTGTGTAACATATTCCTACGGGAACATCATGTGTTTGTTCTATACAATGCTCAACATAAAGTCATACTCTAACTACAATAAATCCTGTAATCTACCCAAAATATTTCGAATGTCAAAAATTCTTATATTTCACAAAAAGGAAGACATACAAAAAATCATATACATTTGACCCGGTATACATACCGGGTCAAAACAATTTATTTGACCGCAATAGGCGAGGAAAAATAATTTCTCGACGCGATCATCACTGAAGTATCAGAAATATTTCGAGTGCCAAAAATTCTTGAAATTCACAAAAATGAAGACATACAGATGAAATTATATACATGGTCTAAACAATTTGTTTATCCGTAATAGGCGAGGAAAACATAATGTCTGAAAAAACTTCAAGCAAAGTATCCGAAATATTTCGAGTGCCAAAAATTAGTAGGCTTTGTAGGAAAGAAGATATATAGAAAGTCATATATACAGAGTCAAATCAATTTGTTTGGCCGTAATAAGCGAAGAGAAAAATAATGTCTGACAAAACTTCAAGCAAAGTACCCGAAATATTCCGAGTGCCAAAAATAAGTAGGCTTCGTAGGAAAGGAGACATATGGAAAATCATATATACAGGGTCAAATCAATTTGTTTGGCCGTAATGAGCGAAGAAAAAAATTATGTCCGACAACATTTCAAGTAAGATTCTCGAAATATTTCGAGTTTCAAAAACTATTGAGCTATCGATAGAAAAATGAAATATATCCTCGTACTATGATTACTCGAAAACTGAAAGCGTTGCCACAATACAAAAAATTCTATTCGAAAGACTATAAATAATGAATAATTTCGTTATCCAATTCTTTTGGACCCCGTCGGTATATCGACAGAAAAATTAAATATATCCTCGTACTATAATCACTCGAAATCTGAGAGCGTTGCCACGATACAAAAAATACCCTTGAGAAGACCATAAGAAATAACGGATAACTCTGTTATCCAATTCTTTTGGACCACCGTCGGTATATCGATAGAAAAATGGAATATATTCTCGTACTATAATTACTCTAAATACTATTGAGAAGACCATAAGAAATAACGAATAATTCCATTATCCAATCTTTTTGGACCCCCGTCGGTATATCGACAGAAAAATTGAATATATCATCGTACTATAATTACTAGAAATCTGAAAGCGTTGCCACGAAACGAAAATGATATTGAAAAGATTATAAGAAATAACGAATAATTTCGTTATCCAATCCTTTTGGACCCCGTCGGTATATCGATAGAAAAATGAAATATATTCTCGTACTTTAATTACTCGAAAACTGAAAGCGTTGCTACAAAACAAAAAATACTATTGAGAAGATCATAAGAAATAACGGACAATTCCGTTATCCAATCCTTTTGAACACCCGTCGGCATATCGATAGAACAATTAAATATATCCTCGTTTTATAATTACTCGCAGTCTTGAAGCGTTGCCACGATACAAAAAATACCATTGGAAAGACCATAAAAAATAACGAATAACTCCGTTATCCAATCCTTTTGGACCACCGTCGGTATATCGATAGAAAAATGAAATATATCCTCGTACTATGATTACTCGAAAACTGTTAGCGTTGCCAAAAAACAAAAATACTATTGGGAAGACCATGAAGAATTACAAATAATCCCGTTATCCAATTCTTTTGGACCTCCGTCGGTATATCGATAGAAAAATTGAATATATTTTCGTACTATAATTATTCGAAATCTGAAAGCGTTGCCACGATACAAGAAATACCATTGGAAAGATCATAGGAAATAACGAATAACTCCGTTATCCAATCCTTCTGGACCACCGGCGGTATATCGATAGAAAAATGAAATATATTCTCGTACTATAATTACTCGAAAACTGAAAGCGTTCCACAAAACAAAAAATACTCTTGGGAAGACCATGAAAAATAACAAATAATTCCGTTATCCAATCCTTCTGGACCTCCGTCGGTATATCGATAGAAAAATTAAATATATTTTCGTACTATAATTACTCGAAAACTGAAAGCGTTGCTACGAAACAAAAAATACTATTGGTAAGACCATAAAAAATAATGTATAATTCCGTTATCTAATCCTTTTGGACCCCCGTCGGTATATCGATAGAAAAAAGAAATATATCCTCGTACTATGAGTACTCGAAAACTGAAAGCGTTGCCACAAAACAAAAATACCATTCGAAAGACCATAGAAAATAACGAATAATCCCGTTATCCAATCCTTTTGGACCCCCGTCGATATATCGTCATAAAAATTAAACATATCCTCGTACTATAATTACTCAAAATCTGAAAGCGTTGCCACGATACAAAAAATACCATTGGAAAGATCATAAGAAATAACGAATAACTCCGTTATCCAATCCTTTTGGACCCCTGTCGGTATATCGATAGAAAAATGAAGTATATTCTCGTACTATAATTACTCGAAAACTGAAAGCGTTGCCACAAAACAGAAAATACCATTGAGAAGACCATGAGAAATAACGAATAATTCCGTTATCCAAATCTTTTGGACCCCCGTCGGTATATCGATAGAAAAATTAAATATATCATCGTATTATCATTACTCGAAAACTGAAAGCGTTGTCACAAAACAAAAATACTATTGAGAAGACTATAGGAAATAACGAATAATTTCTTTTTCCAATCCTTTTGGACCCCCGTCGGTATATCGACAGAAAAATGAAATATATTCTCGCAAACTAATCCAGTTTTATCTGATTCTGTTTTTTGTACTG